ATACATACCCGCGATAGCCAATGAGAGCGAGCAAGCGTCACCTACCGGATGTTGCGTGCTTCTATAGCTGAAACTTGGCAGCCACAAACATGCCATGAAAGCAGAGAGCATCACCCATATTCTTTTCTATACTTTTTCACTGTACAACAGAACGTGCGCCGGGAGAGCCAGCTGACAACATCAATTGTCCTCTATTTGTTTTTCTTGTCTAGTCACGTTTGATCTCGCGAGTGTCCATGAGATCTCGTGTCACTGTGAAATCGTTCCTACAATCAAGTGTGTGGTCTCGTGGTCTGGTCTAATCATTTAGTGTGCGCATTCAGAGGATTATAAGGCTAAAAATCGGTTGAACTGTCTTCATGTCTGTGGTCTCCCATGGTTTTAAAATCTTTTAAGATTTGAAAATCGTCTAGTGTGCAGCCTGCTTACGTGTCCATCATTTTAAATATTTGAGTTTTTTTAAAGTTTTCTTTAGGGTTCCCATGATCATGGAAACCACGGAATTGTCATTGTTTTTCAGGCCTGAAAAAGTCATGGAAAAGAATACAATCTTTAAAATAAATAGACAATTAAATATCTATAATTAATATGCAATTCCTTTTAAATAATGTATTGGCTAGATTCTGCTCATGTAGCGCTTATGTAAAGTTAAGTGTTAAGTTTGCTTGCAAGTCAAAGTGATGTGATTTATGGGCAAATGATTCTTTTGAGTCAGCTCTTTTCAGTGAACTGGTCAAACTGATTCACAAAGTATTCTAAATGATTCTGCGGCAGATCAAGACTAGCAGATCCAGTATCCATTGCAATTGACTAGAAATTAATTTTCTATTGGTCAGTAAAAGTGAGAATCTGGTTTTGTTTTGTTTTTTGTTTTTGTTCTAAACTTTGTAAATCATCTCTGATATAGCAAAATTGAAAAAATGAACTGGCATTACATAATTTCAAACAAAATCAGGCCAAACCATTCTTGCCAGCTTGCCATAGTGAACTTTCCTGAAACTTAACTTTCATCACCTTCAAACTACTATTGCTCTGGGGCTCTGCCTTCTTTGACATAGAAACATTCTCTGGTTCATTTCCTTCGTTGCATCTGTTGAGGTCAGACATCAGCAAGTAAATACATGAACACACTGGAGAGCTGCTATATAGTAGAAACTGAAGTTGTAATTCTATTTGAAAGTGACACTGTATCTGTTGTTTGTGTTGAATACTGGGTTCCTACACGTTTTGGAAAAGTGTGGAAAAATATATAATTTGATTTAATTAATTCCCAGGTCTGGAAAAGTATGGAAAAACGAAAGAGTATGGAAAAATATTTGCATTTCCAGACTTTTGCCAGTTTAAAAAGTTTGCCATATATATATATAAATATATATATATATATATATATATAAAATAGAAAATTAAGAATTTAAGGAAAATAAATTTATCATATAAGAAGTGTTTTCATAGCAGCTGTTTAGTGATTCTTTAGTGATTGTCAAACACAACTGAATGAATTCAAGGTGCACTTTTTCATTATGCAAAATGCAGGTTATAAGCGTTTTTGGTTTCTTCTCACAATATTCTTAGCAACGTATTACATAACCTCAAGGACCTTTGAAAACTTAGCATATAGGACAATGCACACTGAGCCACCTTTTGTGCCATCAGCCCATTTTGCGGTGCGGTTTCTTGGCATGCAAAAAAAATACCCATGCACATGTGAATAGTTTCTCAAGGGTACAAAACTAATTCTTGTGTGCATGCAAAAGTCTTGTTTATTATTATTAATATTTTCTTATTTTATGTTGTCACTTTGAGAAAATCAATGAAAAAAGCCCTGTACTATATACCAAATATAAATCTGAAAATAATGCTGTATGAACCATTAATGTTAAATATGGTCTGAAAATCTACTGAGAGGTTTGGAAATTTGAGTCTAAAAAAGTATAGAGTTTTGAAATGGAAAATATGTATGAACTAGGGTTGTGACGGTGAGGAAACTTTCCCACCGGTTAATTGACGGTAATCACGGTATCACCGCGGGGGCGTTGCCTCTTTTCCTCGCTTTCCTTCGCTTTTAAATAGCTTGTAAAAGCGGTGTGCGCATTTTACCAAAGGAGCAGAGCCACCTCATCGCAGCGCAGGCCCACCTGCTAGTCCCAACCCTATAAGCCCCCCTCATCCTGTTCCTCTACAGCCTTGGGGCTCAATTTAACCCCGCACCCTGTGTCATCCATGTATATGCCATGAAGCATGGCTTGAGTTCATGCCTGCAATTGAAAACGATCCAGTTCCCCCTCCAAATAACTGAGAAACAAGACCCCCAACCCAACCCCCAAACCCCTTCACCCCAGTCGTGGCTAGCGTCCATTCCCCTCCCCTGCACATAAACACATCATGCAGGTGGTACGACGCCCCACTTGGGTCAATATTTCTGTTGCAGTTAATTAAACAGAAATGATATGACCCCCATGGAAATGAGATTCCACTTAAGAGGTCAGCGGCCCCCCTCTCGCTCATCGTGTGCGCGATCCTCACATTCTATTTTAAGCCCAGAGAGCTCTCCGTCACGTTCAGATTATTCATACATGCAGATTATATTCACGAGGAGTCAGTGCAAATCTGTGCTATTGACACATGCACATAATTACTGATTAGACAATGTGTGATTAAATGTGTGTTTTGACAGGGACTTCAATAGATACGTGATACAATACTGGTGCCATATGTGTGTAACTCACTTACGTTTTCCATCACTTACTTTATATTGACACACATCTGTTAGAAAGGGAATTTAAAAGCTAAGATGTATTGTAGCTGCTCTTATCATTTCAGAAGTTCTTTGGTTTCTCAAACTAGCCATATTCATTCACACTTGCTCTGTTGTTTAGTGCTGGAGATTGATTTAATGTCAGTTATCTGAGGTTTTAAATTGTTTGCATAGATCCCTGAAGTCATTTTCAAGCTCTTAATCGCTGTTTGTTTTTCTGTATAGATGCCTGTGTGCTCGTACTTTCTGAAGGGGATCTGTAATAACAGTAGCTGTCCCTACAGCCATGTTTATGTGTCTCGCAAAGCTGATGTGTGCAAAGACTTTGTCCGAGGCTACTGCCCTCAGGGAGATAAGGTAAGACAGTTTGATGGTTTCTATGCAAAAACATGTTGATTAAACTTGAAATCTTGAACATGAAACCTTTTCTAACTGTTTCTTCATCTTAAAACATTTATCACGTCATGGAATGGCCTTGATCATCCTTTTTGGTATATAACTTTCTTGTGATTTTTTTTTTATTCATTAATTAATTTTTTATTTATAATTTATGTTTTATTTTTGAAAACTCTTGAATACTCTAAAATGCTTGGGGAGATGTAATGACATTTATATGGGGCATATGCTATTCTTTGCTATAAAAATGTAAATGAATTTAACTATGTAAAGGATTTGAAAGAAATGTATAAAGAATATATTTTCCTTATTTTAGCACTTTTTATTTAAAATTTATTATAGTTTATTATAGTGAAGTATTATAATATTATATACATTTATTAACTAAAAAAAATAGGCAAATTTAGCTCTTTAACCCTGAAAAAGGCATCCACCTGTATTGTGATAAAAGGTGCTTATATGGAGAGAGATCTAGCATTTGGCACATAACACATGTGGTTCAACTTTCAGGTCAGCAATGTCAACAAGATTCTTTTCACTTTTACTTGCATCCTCATAGAAGCTCATTTATTAGTGTACATGTAGTTTGACATTCATAACATTTGTTGGATTAAAGTGATTTGCAGTTGATGACAGTTTTATAGGTCTTAATGAATGAATGCCGTTTATTGGTGATGATTTTTTCCAAGAGTTTTAAATAGAGCTCTTAAAAGTTGACTGTGTTCCTAATGTTAATCTGAACCTTAATCAGGGTGCTTATGGCATATGCATTTGGTTTCCTCCATGTTTGTGTGTGAGTGACATATTGAGGGCAGTAACAAGAGAGGACAACATGACCCACATTTACCAAGTGTCCTCGTATGTCCTTAATCTAGCAGGTTCTAACCCATCCGTGACCTCTATCCTCACCCCATGCAGCTCTCTCACACACACACACACACACACACACGCACGATTCTCTTGTCCCCCATCACACCTGTCCCTCAGTCTCATTAAGCTGTACAGGAGAGTACAAACCTTCGCTTGCATGAAACAGGTGTAGCCACCGTCATGCTGTAGTACCTACTACATTCTTGTTTTCATCCAATTTGAATACATGACATTGTATGACTTGTGCTAGTCACGTTCTTTGTTATATTTTAGAAGTCTAAGCTTAAAGGAGAATACTTCACCCAAAAAATGAAAACATACTCACCGTCAGGCCATCCAAGATGTAGATGAGTTTGTTTCTTCTTCAGAACAGATTTGGAGAAATTTAGCATCACTTGCTGAACAAAGGATCCTCTTCAGTGAATGGGTGCCATCAGAATGAGAGTCCAAACAACTGAAAAAAATAATCTGCAAGTAATTGACAACTCCAGTCCATCAATTGATTACTTGTAAAGAAAAAAGGTTAATCTTTTTAACAAAATAATTTATCATTGAGGCTTCTTTAACTTCAAACCGTTCCTTCCAGCTAAAATACACGTTCTCTCTCCATATTTTAATGTGAGAGGACAACGGGATGGGCTTTTTCTACTGGAAGAAGCGTTATAATGGACCGTTATTTTTGTCAGAAGCGACGATTTGCAGTTAAAATGTCTTGATGGATTTTTTTTTTTTGTAACAACAAACACAACTTTTAACTTCACAAGACATTAATTGATGGATTGGAATCATGTGGATTACTTGTGGATTATTGTGATGTTTTTATCAGCTGTTTGAACTCTCATTCTGACGGCACCCATTCACTGCAAAGGATCCATTTGTGAGCAAGTGATGTAATGCTAAATTTCTCAAAATCTGTTCCAATGAAGGAGCAAACTCATCTACATCTTGGATGGCTCTAGGGTGAGTGCAACATTTTATTTTTGGGTGAACTATTCTATTAACAGTGCGTTCATTAATGTTTCTTTATTTAAAAAGTTAGTAACACTTTACAGTAAGGTTCAGTTCATTAACATTACTTAATTAGGCATCATGAACTAAAAATGAACAATACTTATACAACATTAAACAGTAACTTTGCACATGTATTTTTAACATTTTAAATTGCATAAATGAACAATTATTGTTATTTAACATTAATTTATAATGAACATGAATTAAGTAAAACTGTACATTTATAAATTAACATTTCTGAGAAAAATATTTTAAAAAGTGACGAAATGCATTAAGAAATTGTAGAAAAAAAATAACATTGTAAAGTAATACCAAAAAAGTAACACCAAAAAGTTGTTAAATGAAAACAAACAAACAAAAATAAATAAATTTAAAAAAAAAATTTTTAAATGTCAAAAAAATGTCATCAGACGACTTCGTCATATCTGTAGCCTAATAAAAGACTCTTAATTTCTCATGGAGTGGGTCACATCATGGAGGTGTCCATATTGAGATCACACAACCTACCAAATAATTATCTCTGTAAGCCTTCTGTTATCAAACAGTTTAGTCCAAGACAATTGCCACATCTGCCGATTAAAAAAGTACTGAGCGCCTCTTTTTTAAACTGTAGTGCTATTTTGAGATAGATTTTAAAGCGGGATGCTTTTAAGATGATAACATAATTCATATATGCCAGAACAAAAGTGATTTATTATTTTAAACTGACAGTATGCCTCCCTTCATTGTTTTTCCCCAGAAACTTTCATCGCCGCCCCTATCAGTTTCTTCCTCTTTGGATTTGTCTCATTCTAATGAATTGTTTCTCCGCAGTGTTTTCTGCTTCTCCCGTCTTCTCTCTTTGTCTCTGTCTGTCTCTCGCTCTGTTTTTTTCCCCTCCATTTGTTCTTCTTTGCTTTCCCTTCATCATAACAAATGCATTCTCTCGCTGTCAAGGCTCATTTAAATATTTGGGGTGAGAATGAGAATATATAAGAAGAGAGATATTAATATTTATTCTATTAGCTGAAGTGCTTAGGTCTGTAATTTTGCGCCGTCCCAAAAGCACTGTCTTAGATATGATGGATAGCACACCATAATTATGGACATGAAAAAGTGCTGATGACAGCAGTACAGGCGAGAGGCCAGCAATGGATACGCCAGCGGAGCAAGGGTTAAAGCGCACTCTCATCCTCTTCATTTCTCCCTCCTCTGTTCTTTTTCCCCTTCTCTGGCTCTCTCTTTCTGTCTGCCATTTCACACGTTTTTCTGTCCCGTTTCTTCTTTTGTTTGCTGGTCACATCAATTCACACCTCATCCTGATCACTCTTCTTTTGATTCTCCTTCTCTTTCTCTCATCCCTCTATCACTCTGTCTCTATTCTCATTTCCTAGCTCTTTATCATAGCTCACACCACCATACATTCTTTCTGTCTCTCTCTCTTTCTTGCTCTCTGTCTCGGTAATGTAAAATGTGCTGACTCTTTCTGCTTTGTGGCCAGTAGAAAGCTCTTCTAATAGGCCCCAGAGACTTCCCAGCCTTTCTTAAATCAAGTGGAAAATTGTTAACTTGCACTGATATAAAGATGTTCCATCCACTTCTCTTTTTTTTTTCTCTCACACTCTTCTCTTTTCCCTCCGTTTTGCTGCTTTTATGTAAATTAAAATGTATGAGAGAGCGTGGTTGGGGCTTTTGTGTTTTCTTTGCCCAGGTCACAGCCGTGAACATCAAAGTTAATGAGCCTTCTCAGTACTGCGCCCACCTCCCATCAGCAGGATTTTCTTCTAATTAGATATGATTACAAATAGGCAATCAACTTATAAGTTAGGTAAGATTTCTATCACCCATACTTTTCATATTGGAGCTTCCACTAATTTGTAGAAATTGAATGTTGGTGGGAATGAAAGGAACGGGATTAGGACTATTTGCTTGCTCATCATACATATTAAATGTTGGTAGAAGTGTGTAGACTTTATTCTTGATCATCATATTCAGTAAAAGTATCATGAAAAACTATTAGTAAAATATTGAAACAATAATAATGTTTTTAAAAGCACAACAAATTATTTGTTTATTTACTTATTTATTCATTTATTTATTTTGTTTAATTTAATTATTTAAGTAATAGTTTTCCCAAAAAATGAAATTGCTGTCATCATCTTATAAAGTGTTTTTGCCCATAAAATAAAAGTCAGTGGGGTCCAAAACAATATTGGACCCAACTAACTTTCATTGTGCAGACAAAAAAAAACACAGAAACATTTTTTTAAATATCTTCTTTTGTGTTCTGCTGAAGAAAGGAAGGTTAGGAATAACATGAGGTTGAGTAAATGACAGTATGATTTTTTTGACTGTACTAACCATACTGGTCTGATTTAAGTTGATCTAATAAACCAGACTTTGGATTTTACTGGCCAAGAATTGTCCCACTTGGAAAGGGGATGAAAAAGGCAGGTGATTCTGTCAATACTTCCACAATAATATACTGCTGTGCAACAAAATATCAGCTCTTTCAAATAATAGAGCAGCAGACTCAACAGACAGCAATATGGAAATCCAAATTGTATTTACATTAGACAAAGCTCTTGAAATATACCTGAAAAGATGTCATGAACCTTGCAAATTTGGGAAAATAGTCATTGTAAGAGGCCACTTTAGCAGCTTGACAACAAATAGACAAAACCTTTTTTCTCCTGAAAGACTGACTAAAAACTATTGCCCCCTGAATTCAGGATGTAGCATAGCAGCCAACCAACAAGTCTGAAATTGGGGGATTCAACCAGCTCTGGCCATCTTAGTGGTCAATATGCATCAAATGGTCTGTTGGCGGCTGCGAGTAGACTCAGTGGATGCAGTCAGTGTTGTTGAATTATAAATGCCCCGGAGATGCCAGTGTGATAGTAGGTAAATTTCACTGCAAAACAGCCCGGTCCCATCCTAGACGCTGTTTGTATTGTTGTGAACCTGAAATCAGAATAGTTAAAATTACAGATGGCGTGTGATCAGATTATCCCACTTCACGTCACTTGTAATTTCTCACAATTTACACATTGGTTCTATCTGCCTCCGCTGGACCTTTGAATGATTAAAGCTCGACATGGATGTTATCAGTCAAACAAGAAACAAATGGGTATTTAAAAAAAGAAAGGTCCCAAATGCTCTTCTGAAATGGGGTGGAATTGGAATCGACCAAATTCAAGTGGCAAGGGATTTAGCAAATTGGGCCAATTAGCCATGAGTGTGGTGAGTGATGATGTTGTCTATAGGATGATTTAGGGGGCATTAGAGACCCAGATTCATTGGGTACGATAATCCAGTTACACTAGACTGTGTGTGTATTGATAATATCTATACTTTTAGTGTTTTTTTTGTATAACAGTAAATAAAGCAAAAGCTGTCATCTTGTATTTAAAGACTCCATAGACACACTATACATGCCTTTTTGCATCTTAGTGATAGAGTCTATGACATACACTTAAATGATTGTGTGTGTTTATTTATTTAAGGTTTTTTTTTTTTTGTGGGGGGGGGGGTATTTTGTTGTTTTTGATTTTGCTTTTTTGTTTTGTTTGGTGATTTGTCTTATGTCTGTTTTGTTTTGTGTATTTTTAATTTTTTGTTTGTTTGCTATTTTGTTTTGTGTTGTGTTGTTTTTGTTTTGTTTTGTTTTGTTTTGTTTTGGTTTGGTCTTGTCTTGTTTGCATCATATCTGGCTTGTACTTTTGACCTCCTTAAGGCTTTAGTAGGAGGTCTTGATAAGCATTTTGGTTAACTAAAAATGTGGTGTCTCTGGGGCTAGACACTGAAAAAAGTAGCAATCGGATACATATGTGCGACAATTAAAAAAGTAGCACAGCTGGATTACAAAAAAAAAAGTTTCCTGTGTGAACGGTCGCTGCGGGTTTAATTTAACAAAATCTGTCTGGTTTCTGTATCTCATTTCTAAGCACCACAAGATAACACAAGGTAATTTTAGGCCGCTTGTGGCTCTGACCTGATCCCCGTTGGGTAAAATGTCTCTGGGCGGTCTGCCCCAAGGGGTGACAAGGAGTCCACAGTGTTCCCGGACACACGATCCTTCAGCCATCCTTCCCTCCCACACACACATACAGACACTCTCTCTCTCTCTCTCTCTCTCTTTCTCTCTCTCTCTGTTTATTTCTGGAGCAACATGCCCCACACTCGCCCAGTCTCTCTCTCTCTCTCTCACTTATACACGCGTCTCGCGCTCCTCACCCCATAGTGGGGTATAATTAGCTTCTCTGACAGGTGGGAGGGATCGGGTCTCCCGAAGAATGAAACGACCAATTTACGCCCAAATTACACGGGCACACAGACACTCTCACCTACTCTCACTTACACACACAAACACATGCTCACCTTCTCTCACATATCAGATACATGCACCTACTGATGTGTGATCACACACAAACACTTACTTTTGCTTACTTCAGTGCACTCCTACAGAGTGTGGCACACATGAAATCTCTACTTGATTTTAACTTGACAGTGTCCCACATGTTCATAACCAGCCCATAAAACATCCATTGTCAATCTGGATATAAATAGAAATAAAGCATTAAGAATGTTCTGCTCTCTTCACAGTGTAAGAAGAAACACACGCTGGTGTGTCCAGACTTCTCCAGTACCGGCGTGTGTCCACGTGGATCCAAATGCAAGCTGCACCACAGACAGAGCTCGAAACGCTCCGGCTCTAACGCAAGCTTTGGACCGACCAAGAAAGCCCGTACTAGAGACATTTTAAAAAGGTCAGGATCAGGAACTAATATAACATTATGATTCTTAATTGTCATTGATATACGGTTGGTGTTCCCTTTCATCTTTCTGTACTGTTGAAAAAAAATTATCATTATAGTTATGATTTATTTTAATAATTATATTGTTATAGGGAAGTGACTTGAATAACCATGTAAATCTGCCATAAGCATGCCGATCATTTATAAATTTATTTGAAAATAAAATTAAATAAATAAAATCTTGTTAATCTTATAAAAATAGGTGATCAGGATGATTTGCCTTTTCAGTTCGGAGGATGTTCAGACTCTTCAGACAGAGTCCATAGAGGCAGATGAGGGCCCGTCCAGCTCGGGTTCTGAGAAGCTGCCTTCCTTCATCTCCTTGTCCACCTCTCCTGACATGTCAGAGAACCCTGATACCCCAAAGCTCCCTCCTACTGCAGGCCCACAGGCCAAAGGTGTGTACTTGTATGTCTAGAGGACTTTAGATTGAACAGATTCAGTGTAAAATAATAATAATTATAACATACAGTAGATGAGATGCATACATTGGCCCTACAAAGTATATGAACACTTAAGCTACACTTAATGTATAATATAAAACCCGGTAGTACTTTAAAGAAAGATAACAAAACATTTCACAAAAAGACACTTACATTTGCTAGGTTTTAAATGATAATTATGTTATTAAAGGGGTTTTTCACTGTTTTTTTTCTAGGCTTGATTGTGTTTATTGGGTGCAGTCTAATTTTGTGTTAATGCTTCGTTTTTTTAAAAACGCATTATTTTTCACATAATTTACCTTTATTCCACACCGCTTTGTCCCTTCTCTGAGAAACGCGCTGATCATTTCCTGCTTTTATGAAGCCCCTCCCTCAGAAATAGGAGAAGGGCTCTGATTGGTTAGCTAGCCCAGTGTGTTGTGATTGGCTCAACCGCCTCTAGTGCACGTCTAAACGTCCCGCCCCTCACCTCAGCGGCATGTGCTCCGGTTGTATTGTAAACAACGGCGTCTTTAATATCGCTTATCAGTTTGAGCCCGATTGAGAAGCAGAGGATATTATTGAAGAGGATCGTGCAGAACCTGTGCAAGCACGGCTTTTAATGGGAGGCCTATGTTTTTTGTTTGTTGTTGTCACATACTTTTAGATACGCTGTTATTTGCTCTCTCTCTCTCTCTCTCTCTCTTTCTCTCTCTCTCTGTTTATTTCTGGAGCAACATGCCCCACACTCGCCCAGTCTCTCTCTCTCTCTCTCACTTATACACGCGTCTCGCGCTCCTCACCCCATAGTGGGGTATAATTAGCTTCTCTGACAGGTGGGAGGGATCGGGTCTCCCGAAGAATGAAGCTACCAATTTACGCCCAAATTACACAGGCACACAGACACTCTCACCTACTCTCACTTACACACACAAACACATGCTCACCTTCTCTCACATATCAGATACATGCACCTACTGATGTGTGATCACATGCAAACACTTACTTTTGCTTACTTCAGTGCACTCCTACAGAGTGTGGCACACATGAAATCTCTACTTCCTTTTAACCTGACAGCGTCCCACGTGTTCATAACCAACCATAAAACATCCATTATCTGGATATGAAGAAATAAAGCATTAAGAATGTTCTGCTCTCTTCACAGTGTAAGAAGAAACACACGCTGGTGTGTCCAGACTTCTCCAGTACCGGCGTGTGTCCACGTGGATCCAAATGCAAGCTGCACCACAGACAGAGCTCGAAACGCTCCGGCTCTAACGCAAGCTTTGGACCGACCAAGAAAGCCCGTACTAGAGACATTTTAAAAAGGTCAGGATCAGGAACTAATCTAACATTAGCTTTTATGATTCTTAATTGTCAAAAAATATATATTATTATAATTTGAATAATTATATTATTATAGGGAAGTGACCTGGATAACCATGTAAATCCCTCATAAGCATGATGATTATTTAGAAATTCCTTTGAAAATAAAATTAAATAAAACATTTTAATCTTATATTATTTGTTGTTTTGCCTTTTTAGTTCAGAGGAAGTTCAGGCACAATCTACAGAGTCCATACAGGCAGATGAGGGCTCGTCCTGCTCGGGTCCTGAGAAGCTGCCTTCCTTCATCTCCTTGTCCAGCTCTCCTGACATGTCAGAGAACCCTGATACCCCAAAGGTGCCCCCTGCAGCAGGCCCACAGGCCAAAGGTGTGTACTTGTATGTCTACAGGACTTCAGATTTAACAGATTCAGTATAAAATAATAATTATAACATACAGTAGATACATTGGCCAAAGTATATGAACACTAAAGCTACACTTAATGAATAAATGTTATTGCACTAGTTAAATATAAAACCAGATGGTACTTTAAAGAAAGCTAACAAAACATTTCACAAAAAGACATCTGTTAACATAAATGATAATTATGTTATTAAAAATTAAGATAAAATGTCTATAGTTAATGTGATGACAACTACACCTGTTGTTACTCTGCTGGTACGCCTGTGTAAAAATTGAGGAAATTACTTAATATGCACACCAAAAATTGGAGTAATTAGAAAAATATGCCTCAGAAAAATAAACTTAGCTCTAAGAAAATGTCTTGTGAAATTTGTTTGCAGATGCCACATTGCATTGCAATACTAGATTCATATAAATTTAAAATCGGCTTGTTAAGTGTGGCTTAAGAGTCCAAATACTTTTTAGGGTCACTGTGTATATATATAAAGAGTAAGGAGATAATAAATATTTATGGAGTATGAAGCTGGGCTACTTAATACGCAGTGATGGAGTTAATAATATCGAGGGGGTTGATATTATTTAAGAGAGGGGCTACATGAGGTATATAATACTTACTAAGGGGTTACTAATATTTAGGTTTGTTGTTAAGGACAGGCACAGCTGAAGCTGGCATGCCTGTCTCACTGATAGAGGATTAGTGGAGAGGGGCCCCTATAACCTCAAACACACACACACGCCAGCCGCACCCTATGGAATAGTGTCTTTCTCTCTCCACACTCAATAAGACAAACCTGATATACTTCCCTCGCACAAACTCACACACATGACATTTTTTTCAGCAAGAAATGATCAACCTCTCTTAAAGGTTCTGAGAAACTGGTTCTAACTTTTTAGTATTCATCTGAATGCTTTTCAACTCTTCAGTCTTCTTCTCTCTCATGCTTCCATACTTCCTTTCTTAAATTAGTTACTGCAGAACAGAAACTGCTGTCATTAACCTCTGACTTTACACCCTAACAGTGGCTTTTCACAGTCATATGGTCATACTGAAGTGTGGCATACACTCATTCTCTTCTCTATACGCAAATATTTAAAAATGTATATCCTCTGTGTTTCTGATTCGTTTTAGCTCATGTTCATGCATGTAGGGTTTCCTTCTATTTCCAAAGCTTTCTTGAGTGATGGCAAGTATCATGTCTGCATATTTATACAAATTTATGCTTGTTATACATACACACACATCCCTCTGCCAACTTCCTATTTCTCTCATGCCAAGTTCCAGCTCAGTTCCCCTTTGGGATCATTGATGGCAGCCCTGTGTCTCAGAATAGCACAGGTGCCCACCAGACCACCATGACTTTTCACATGTCACTTTCTCATCCTGTTGCCTGAAATCATCTACTGCATAAAGACTGAAAAAGTGCTGGTCTCAAATTCACCTCATTATAGCATGACGTTTAGCGAATTAGGCAATTCTGATTCAATCTGGATTCCTTAACGGTTCTATTAATTATTATTTTAGTTATTTTGAGGAAGAAACAATGGATAATGTTTGGAAAACAATTTTTACTGCATTTATTATCCTCAGAAATATGTTGTCATATTATGAGATCATTTAAGATTTCAACAAAACAGTAATAAACAAACAAAAAATGTCTATAAATGTAAGGGTCTTCAACCATTTAAGGATTGATTGATTGATTGATTTAATTTTCATTATTATTTATTCATGTTTTCATTTATCATTCATTATTATTTACTATTATTATTCATTTATTATTTAAATTTCAGTTATTTTCAATTTTGCTTCCTAACAGGAATTGGAAATTATATTGTCAATTATATTAAAAAATATTCTTCAATAATATTCTCTCATTAAAATGTTGTATATTTTATTAGATTTTTCTTTCCACACCAGTTGTAAAAAGGTGTGTTTGTGTGTGTATACAGCCAAACCTAAATTTATTCAGACACCTTCAACATTTCTCACATTATCACAGTTTATTGACTATAGTTTAGACAATGGTAATAAAATATGACAAGAACTCAGAGTTAAACTGTGTCAGAACAAATTCATCTTGATAATGTCAGATAACTTTGATAGAAAGGTATGTAATGAATTAGGATGAATAGCTGTCAGCTGTCAGTTGTTAAATTTAAGTACACAGTTAGATAATACCAATTTAGGTCAACCAATTACCAAGCAATGCTTAATTTTGTTCAGTCTGTGGTGTAAAAAGGTCGCATTAGTAATTTAAATGGGTCATATGATGTTGCTAAAAAGAACATTATTTTGTGTATTTGGTGTAATGAAATGTGTTTATGCGGTTTAAGGTTAAAAAAACACATTATTTTCCACATACTGTACATTATTATTTCTCCTCTATGCCCCGCCTTTTTGAAACGCGTCGATTTTTACAAAGCTCATCGGTCTGAAAAGCGAGGGTGTGCTGTGATCGGCCAGCTATCCAGTGCGTTGTGATTGACCGAATACCTCAAGTTTGTGACGGCGGAAATGTTACGCCCCTACCATA